AATCCTACTTCTTCCTGTGACCCATAATCCCAATATTTACAATGCAAGGGAGATGAGAAGGGAAGTCTAAATCAAGTTTGTATAGAGACTGAATAAGAAATCTAAGTCATTTCTTTTGAGATAGATTGTTATTGTACAGAAATCTTTAGCCAGGCATCTTAAAATTGTCATACATATCAATGATCATGTTATCCCTAATCGCCAATAGAATGTATTTTACTTTCTTGTAACACTATTTTACATGTTTTAACATTTAGTAACCAACTCTCTTCTCCTTTGTAGTTCTCCAAGCCCTTCCAAAAATAAAGCTTCAGCAGTTTTTTTTAGTTCATGTGAAATGAATGAATTAATGAATAAATACTTGTGAGTAGAAAGAAAGATATAATAGAAATGTCTAAATAGGCACATAACCATATGAAGAAGGCTAAGAATACAAACAAAAAGAATATTTAAGCAAAATAAACTACTCCTTCATGAAAAAGTGCTCAGCAACAGAAAGGGACCTGATAAAGATGATTCTGAACCTAAGAAAACCACTACTTAGCAGAAACCACAACCATAAGACCCAGCAAGAAGCAGTCTGTATATACATCCACAGATTAATGAATAAAGGGTAGTATTCTGCCATAAAGCATAAATAAACTTCAGGCCGGGTGTGGTGGCTCACGCCTGTAATCCCAGCACTGGGCAGGCTGAGGCAGGAAGATCGCTGTGAGTTCAAGACCAGCCTGTGCTACATAGTGAGTTCCAGGTCAGTCTCAACTACATATTGAGACTCTGTCTCAAAAAATAAAAAAAAAAATAAATTAAAAAAAATAAATAAATAAACTTCATTTGTAGGAAAATAGAGGTAACTTGAGACCATAATGTTAACTAAAATAAATCAGATTCACAGCTTAAACTTCATGTCATTTCTCTTGCATTTTGAGAAACTCAAAATATAAATTATGAAGAGAAATAAAAGATAATAGGAAAGAGGGAGATACATCTTTTGCAAAAGGGTAAGTGATCAACATGGAGAGAGGGGGACAGAAGAAAAGGGGAAGGGGTGAAAAAAAAGATGTGTTATGTACATATACCAAGTATTTCTAATGAATGTAATGATTATGTATTACAAATGTACTAATAAAAATGTTTTAAAAGAATCATCAGTGGGTCAATGAAGTAAGAAATTCCCCATTTGCACTAGTTTTCCCTCCTTCTAACCTGCAACAAAGAAAATCAGACAAAAAAGTTTGACTCATACTTTGTGCTAAGGTGTCCTAAATGTCTCAGTCATCTCCCTCAGGTACTATTGAGTATTTAAAAAATTTTAGGGGAATATAGCAATATTTACTATCATATACTACATGAACTACCAGCTAGAGATGTTTCTCAATTTCAATATTAGATCCTGTTAAATCCCCTCTGAGAATATCATATCTTTATAAGACTTTAGCAGTTCCTGTCATAAAGAACAAAGACTTGAGCCTGGTATTGTAGCTCATGCATACAATCCTATCATTTTGGGAGGCTGAGGAAGAAAATTCACAGTTTGAGCCCTACTTGGGAAACTTAGCAAGACCCCATCTCAACATTAAAAAAAATAATAAAATAAAAAGGGTTGGGGATGTATTTCAGTGTGAAAATTCTGGTTCAATTCTTAGTAATGCAAAAAAAGGCAATCAAGCAAACAGAATAAAAAAGGGGGCTTCTCAGAAATCATAGTAGCACAGAAAATGAGATAGCAAGAAGAGTACTTATGAAAAAAAATCTAAGCTAACAGGGGAAATATGGACTAAGTTTGTGAACATCTGGGCTAGAACAAAAGAAGGTAATGAAGAGAGGTTTTTCTAATGAAGGCCATATCTACTTTCACTGAAATAAGAGAACAGGTGAAAGAACATATTTCTTCCTGCAATCTCTAAGTAATACCTGAGAGAAAAGTAAGAGGTGAGAACTTAAGGAACTTTAAAGTTGACACTTCAATATCGAGGATATACTCCTAAGTGAAATAAATAAGTCACACATGTGTAAATACCGAATAGTTTCTCGGGTGTGAAAAACTATTAATACTACATAAGATCCTAATGAGATAATTGACAATGTGAAATAGGAAGAAAAGGGCTAAAGGTGTAGGGAAAGTGGGAAGGGTAGGGGAAAGGTAATAAGGGAAAAGAAGAAAACATGAGAAAATGAAAAAATGGAAATAAAGTGTTTGTAAATGGGGAGGAGAGAAGGGGGTGAAGGGAGGGCAGAGACAAGGGGAAAAAATGAGAACCAAGACCTGTCATGTAAAGGTACAAGATCCCAATAATGAATGTAACTGTACTGTATACCTAAAATTTATCAATAAACTCAATGAGAAAAAAATAAAGTTGACTTTTCAAAGTAACTTGGGCTGTTAGTAATTAAAAGTGGCCAGCAATTTATAACATCTGAGATACTGTCACAAGAAAGATTAAGGATAAATGCAATAAAAGATATTAAGGAAGGGTAAAATAATCCTACCTAATTCAGTTGTGATACTCCAATTACAACAGATAAGGATATTAAATTCTACTTGATGGTTCTTGTAGCAATTCTTAACCACAGGAAGCAGTGGTGAATATAAAAGTGAACCCCTTCATACTTTTGTTCAATTGAAGAGAAATATATACAATAACTGAAAATGTTGAGCATTTTTTTTAAACATAAGGGAAACTGAGGATGCCAAGTGATCTGGATGTGGTATCTTTCATTCCAGTGATCACCAGAGCCCACTTGGCTTGTTAGGAAGTATATTATTCCTCTCTCACAGATCCAATATCAGGGATGTATAAGCAACTATGCTCCCGTACTAGAATCTCCAAATAAGCCTTCAAAGAATGCAGGTAAAAGTCTGTAAAGGATAGTGTTTAAAATAACATGCTTCCTCCAGTTCAGTTTACCTCACTATTCTGTGTCTATTTTATTTTTTCAAAAGCAGGACTCATTTATGTTTTAGCATATCTTTAGCATTAAAATCTAAGAACTGAGAGCAGAAATTGCTTTTCCTCTGTATCTCAATTTCTCAACATTATGCACATATCAATAATGGGTTCCCTTCTTTCTCTCTAATGTATCATTTATTCACTGGCTATATACACTAGGGGTAGGTAGGGGTGTGTGTGTGTGTGTGTGTGTGTGTGTGTGTGTGTGTGTGTATGTGTGTGTATTACCCAGTGTTGACCTTTCCTCAGAATGCCATACTTATAAATTTAACTACTTGAAAAAGGGATGAATATATTAAACTTAATACATCAAACACTCACAACAATCCCTAACCAGCTATGCTATAATCTGTTTTTTGCTCAATGGATGGCATCAACTATAAAAATGGTGTAAAGCTTGGGGCTCAAGCCAAAAACCCAAAATTTAGCCTTGATTATTGCCATCTTCAGACTCTACTTCCAAAAATATCTTAGTTCCAGCTCCTCCTCTTCATATCTATTTTTATCAAACTACTTCAGGCAGTGTTTTTGTCCTTTCTGTTTCACCTGGGCTTCTACAATAACACAACTAACTTGTTTTCCTGCTTCTTTATTTTTCACATTGAAATCCAACAGAAATATTCACACCTAAAATTTAGTCAATCTCCTTCCAACACATGCAACTATTAAAACAATGCCGGTGTCCAATTATTTTTCAGATAATCAAAATCCCTTACAAACATGGAAGAGTCAAATGACCTGTCTCTGGTTGTCCATTTTGCAGTGTTCCTCCCCAACCAATGCTCCATAAGAGCAGAACTTTGAGGTACCGGTCAATGCTACGTTTGTCGTAACTATCCAAATAGTAAATAAATATTACTAAGAGGCACTCTGGTTCACAGAACTGCAACAACTGCATCTCTGTTGTACCTAGACTAACGCATAAATTTTAAATTTCTGACCCTCTTGACCTTATCTTTGCCTCAATATATTCAGAATCTAAGTAAAACAGTGGAACAGAAGATAGCCCTTAAGTCAGAATACCAGGTCTCAAATTCTACGTCTTCCATGTAATAGTTATGTGACTGAATTTCTTTGCACATCGTCAACTGTAAAACAGGAAGAGTGCCTATAACACAAATTCTGCTTGTGTGAGTGCGGTGTGTATGGAATTCTCTTCTACAGGCTGTCACTTCTGTGACATAATTTGGCAGGAATCTATCGAGCTGTTGTCTGCTGATTAAAGGAATAAAAACGACGTCTATTTTTTACTTACACTGAGTTTTCTTCCCTGCAGAGCTGACTAAAGAGAACTGATTTCCCTCCTACTTCCACACACTCAGTAGCATTTTTTTTTCGTAGTTTTATTTATTTGGCACCAGGGATCGAACTCAAGACCCTGAGCTTCCAAGGCATTCGCGGTGCCACTGTGCTAAATCCCCAGCCCTTTAGTATTTAATTTTGAGAAAAGGTCTCGCTGAGTTGCTCAGCCCAAGCTCGAATTTTCGATTCTCCTGCCTCAGCCTTTCAAGAATGCTGGGATTACAGGCGTGTGTCATCACATAAGTCGATCTTTGGGTTTTACCAAGACAACACTGTACGGACCTGCCTCATTTCCACAGCTCCTTCCCACCCGTCAGTCAGGCTTACTCACTTCCGCCAGGGGGGGATTAAGTGCCGGAGAGCGACTACGAGAAGTGAGCACACGCGTGCGCAGTAGTGAGTCCCTGAATCGGGCCTAGTGCCTTTCCTTCACGCGGCTAAGGGTCCTTGTTCCACTTACACAACTTTTGTTTTAATCGTAGTCTCTCCCTGGGCTAACTTTTGTTTTTAATATTTTCGCCAGCTACCTGGAATCTTAATCATCCTGCCGAGGCACCTCATCCTTCAGTCCGTGGAATCCCCGCGAAGGCAACGCCCAGCAAGGGCGGCTTCTCGCGGTGGGACTTTCTCTCGCGGTATTTCCTTGTTCCCAGAATTCGTAGCGCGAGAAGTGCAAATACATTTGAGTCCTTCAGGTCAGCCTAGGGTTCCCGCAGATTATACCCGGCCCCTTCCCGTTCTTTTCCCCTGCTGCGTCTCCAAAGAAGATGGCGGGCCCCGAGCAGGCCCTGCCGCTGTCCAGAGGATGCCCGAACACCACTTCACTTTCCCCGCCCCGCGGGGACCGAACCCTTCTAGTCAGACATCTGCCGGCCGAGCTGAGTGCAGAGGAGAAAGAGGACTTGCTGAAATATTTCGGGGCGCAGTCCGTGCGCGTCCTGTCAGACAAGGGGCGACTGGTAAGGGCGCGCGCCTGCGGGGTCTCCGGGAGGCCCTGGGGAGCCTGGGAGTCAGGGAGGCGATGGGAGGAGGGAAGGGGCGCCCTTGTGCTGGGAGCTACTCGGTCCTTCCTCTTTTACGTCCAATAACCGTGCGTGCAGAGCGAAGCGCTGCCGAAAGAGGCGGAAGGAGAAAGGCAAAGCTGGAGAATGGCAAATAGCTTGTTGGCCTCCCGTTTTAGATCCATCCACCGAAGGAGACGCTTGGATTTGGGAGTATTTCGATTAGTTCCACAGTACCTATGCAAATATGTAACAAAGAATTTTTAAAAATTCTTGGAAGCTTGTTCAAAACATTCACCAAAGAGGGAACAGTAGTAGTCAATAGTTAAGAGTAAACTGAATAGAAAAAAATATGACGTGAATTTTTGGCTAAGAGACTTCTTTTTCTGTTTTATAAACAGCTCCGGACGAAATCCGTTAGGGAACATTTCAATACCATTGAAAAATTTTCGCAGAGAATTTATACTCTATTTTTTTTTATTACGGAAGTGTTTGATGGTTTTCTCGTCATTAAAATATTGTCGGCGATGTTTCTGCAAATGGTGTGTGAAGGATCAAGACTTTAGCTTCGATTACCTTCAGCCTAGGTTGTAAATCGTTAAGCTAACCAAAAGACCACTTCTGGTTTAATTGCCACGTATGCCGATAAATACAAATACAGATATTATTTTTGGTTCATTTTAAGTATACTCAGGTTATCTTGGATCAGATTAGAGGTCATCTTGGATCAGATTAGACAGAATTAAAATTTGGGATATATTTATTCAAACCTTTATCAACATTTACACGAATTTACATGTAATGTGTTGACTCATTTACTTTTTTCTCTTTTTTTTTTGGTTTTAAAACTTTCAAAGATTTAGTTTAAAAATAGACTATTCCTATTGAAATGTATTAGAAAAATAAAGTCCAAATAAATAAAGTCTGAAACATACATAGCTCTGAAGGAATGATTTCTCTATTGACGAACATTTTTTATTTAGTATTGGACTGCATAAAGTTTAAGATATTTTATCATGTTCTACATGTGGGATATTTTATATTTTTGGATGTTTAATAATGATCTTTTGTATATACTGGGACCTTTTAACTTCTGGCCTGTTGAACTTCTTGTACATATAAAATATGTTGTGTTTGCGTTTGTACACCTTTATATGAAAAGGCCACATAGCTTTAGTCTTAATTCTGACACAAGAAAAGGTTCAAAACCACTGAACTGAAATTAATAATTGGTTAAAGTCTCAATTTTCTACCTTTTCCTGTAATTTTATTAATGTGTCAAATTACTCCACTGGTCAGAATTTTTTTTTTTTTTATGAGAAACTGAAATTATATTGGAAGTAATTTGTGTCTTAACTGTTTCAGAAACATACAGCTTTTGCTACTTTCCCCAATGAAAAAGCAGCAATAAAGGTATGACTTTTTCTTTGCTATTAAACCTATCAGGCATTTCTTAATCTCTAATATAAAAATGGCATGTAATATTAAACTGTAATTTTAAGATTTAATCTAATTTTTAATTTAATTTTATCTTATTTGTGGTGCTGGGTATTGACTCCAGAGCTAAATTCCCAGCCATTTTTATTTTATTTATTTATTTTTGCACAGGGTTTTGTTCATTCACTAAGTTGGGCAGGCTGAGCTGAAACTTAGGGTCCTTTTTCCTCAGCTTCTCAGAGTGCAGGGATTATAGGCATAAGCTACCACGCCCAGCTAAAAACCAGTTTGTTTTTAAAGCATTTTTTTCCCAAAGAGATTGTCTTAACAGGCTGCATTCGGCTTTTCATTTGAAAGAGCTTATCCAAAGTTTTGATAGTAGTACATAAGAATAGTAGATTAACTGTAAAATTAAAATCATCTGTAACTAAAAATAAAAAATTATAAAGGATATAAGGTTGATAACTTATGTCCATAATTGTTACAAGGCAAGATACATTAAATGGTATAAACCCAGGGAATAATTTGAAAAGGAGAAAACCTTGAACTAGACATCTAATGACTAGTTGGATTTTTGAAAATAAAACCAAGGGAGATGCATCTTCTGGTTTTAGGGGAAACTAAATAAAGCTTTGAGCCATGGAAAGTTCTAAGTAGGGCAGGAGCTAAAGGTTGAGATGGAAATAGGAATTGAAAGATATAAACAGTCTAAATTTAAGTGGAAGAAGAGGTATTGAATTTTGTTTAGTAAGTGTTTTAAAGGTATTTAATACTTTTGAGCTTAAAAATATGATCAGACCTGTGAAGAATAATTGCTTCACTTTATGTCATTGGCTGAATGTGGAGAAATAGAAGTAGGAAGACCCAAAGGAAAATTGTTTCGGTAGCCAAAGCAAGAATATGTGTCTGAAAAAAGCAGCAAGAAAACAAACACATATAAAGTTGGTAGAATTTGAGTTTGTAGGTCTTGGAATATAGAGGTTGAGAAAGGGGCTAGTTTATTTTTGGATTGAATAGTTTGCATGAAGAATTAGAGTAATAGGATGTTTGTAAAGGTAGGTAATGAATTCATATGGCGTCTGAATTTTGAAGAATCATGGGACTGCTTTTGGAAATATTTAGAAAACATTTTTGACAACTGAGACAAAGTCAAGAATGGAAAATTTCTTCGTGTGAATGGTATGAAGGTCCAAAGGAGGACTGGAAGGAAGCAGTTATGTATGAGAACTATAAAAGAAATTGTCATAGATATCTAAAGCCTGTGATCTCACTTTATCCTGTGATGATGCATATTGAATAATGAATGTAGTTTATTAGTTAAGGACTTTTTGCCATGAACCAATTCAAAATGACCCAAATTCTTATTAATAAGGGAGAAGGGATATACCTACTTTATACCACAGTTTGACCATCCTCAGTCTGAAACATACCAAATCTGAAATTATTGAGTTCTGCATATTTTGCACAAGTTTAAAATTCCATACTTGTCCTTAGTAACAGCTTACAGTTAAAACGGAGGCACAGTGAAAACATTGTATAAAATTACTTTCAGCCTATAGTTGTAAGGCATATATAAACACAAATTTTATGTTTAGACTTAAGTCCCAATCCCAAGATATCTTA